AGATTGTGTGCTGTTATGATGGTGTCGCAATATAGCGTTGGACGCGTAATGCTGGCTGGCGTCAACTGTCGGTGCAACGGATGTAACGGGATATGCTTGGCACGCTCCCGTGGAATAGGGAATAACAGGTCCATCACCGATTCTTTTCGTTACCGCGTACAGACTATGCGTGCGTATCTAATAGCACGGTGACCTTTATTTGAACACCTGCCTTTTTTTCTACAAAAATAATGATCGAATGAGTCAAACGTTGCAAAACGAAATGAAACGAAATGTATATAAAATAATAAACTGTGCAAAGTTGAAAGTTTCGGGTGTCTTTTTCATCTCACACCGATAATTCACCATGGTGCAAATCCGAAACTCCAGGAGCAAAAACAAGAGCGGCTTGATAATCACACAGAAGCTGGTCACTGGCGCTGTTATAATAGTCGGTTTTTTATATTTCATCGTTGCAACAAGTGTTTCACTATCAAGAATGGATGCGCAGTTGGACGCACAAGAACAGCAGCTGCGGCGAACGAGTGCTTCAAAACCCCAAAACCATCCAAACATAGTACAACTTGAAACATCAAGGGAGGAGGGTGGTAACGATTCCCAGCAGTCATGCATGTACCGATCACTGTCGGATTTGTCAGAAGAAGAACTCCAGCCCATGGAAGGACCACGCCACATGGTCACACCTCCGATTGGTGGTAAACTGTCGTTGGTATGCTGCCAGACAACGGTTGGTCCTCTCTCAATTCTAGTGCATTATAAATGGGCGCCATTGGGTGCAGCGCATTTCATGGAAATGGTCACGACAGGTTACTTTAACTCTGGAGTTCCGTTCATGCGATGCATCAAGAACTTTTTGTGTCAGGTAAGCTTTGAAGGTTTGTCAACTTATGATCGAAACAGAATATTCACGAGAGGATAGCGGTTCTTTCATCTTTGCTAACTTTGCTATTCTTTCTACCCTCTGTAATAAAGTATAGTTTGGATTGAACTCTGATCCTACAGCAAAACAAAAATTGCCGACGAAAGGATCGATAGAAGATGATCCAAATTGGCTTCCGGAGGGTCCCAATCATCGAGAAAACAAGCAAGGTGTCAAGCGATTCGCTCGTGGATATTTGGCATATGCTGGAGGAGGAAAAAATTCTAGAGGGACGCAGTTGATAGTAGCGTTGAAAGAGAATGGCCCACTTGCAGGAGGATCACCATGGGTACGTGAATTATTTCATATTCTATGGGTGGAAACACGCTCTTTACTTAACCGTTGATTCACGCGCCGTTTGTTTTGCGAAGGAGGTTCCATGGGGAGAGCTGGTTGGCGCAGACTCGTTCCAGACGTTGGGCAAAATCTACACGGGCTATGGAGAAAGTGGGCCTCCACAAGGACGCTTGATGAAAGAAGGAGCTTCCGATGCTGTCCGAGAGGAATGGCCCAAGCTTGACTACATCAACAGTTGCCAGTTGGTGGATGAAAGGTTTCAAGAGCAGCCACTACGGGTAGTAGACTTCAATTAGTGCCAGAACTTCTTGTTGACATATTTTCTACAAGTGCAGAGTTGAGAGAGTGTTTACCTTTTATCCAAGCATCGGCTCCCCTTAAACGCTTTCAGCTGACTTACTGATCCGCTTGAGCCACAGCAGAAAGTCTTTGGGTAGGAATACAAACACAGCTGTAATCATAGGTCCTGAGGTCCGTTGTTGAACCCCAAAATTGATCCTTAACATGTTGTCTCTTTCGATCTTGCCCAGCCAAGCTTCCTGCATGGTCGTTCAAACAATCGTAGCCGCCCGTCAATAATACCTTCAATACCTTCAAAAGGATACACAATGGGGGTACTACCTGGTACAAAGTATGTTTCGGTGGATCCTGATTTTTAACACTAAACAAGTGCAATATAACCATGATGTCAATGATAACATCTCAAAAATTTCATATTGAATGTGTCGTTTTGTTGGTTGCTTTGGCCTTTGTTGAAGAGCCAAATTCATAGTATGAATGTTTCCCCTACCACTGTATTGATAGCATTCTCTGTTTTCACCACCGCAATAGATGCATTTCAATCATGTCATCGAAACCAACAATTGGCATCCTGCCGCCATGGACTTTCAATGAACATGGTTATTTCCTTGGATCGAAATGCACAACGTCAGGTCGACCAATTTCAGGGATGGGCAGCAAATTGTGGAGTTGAGGCAGATAACGGGTTTTGTTTGGTGGGCGGAATGGTGGATGGAAATGAAGATTACCACGCGGTCACTTCCACTGGGGCGTCACAGGGAAATAGGGTCTTGGCAGTTCCCAGTGAGATGATACTATCAGCCTCTCAGATTGCACAAGAATTTCGAGGATATGTGGAATCGGCTCTACAGAGTCTAGAGCAAAAAGGCTATTTACATTTGGAACCACACTTTCACTTGTTTCTAAAAATACTAATGGAATACGAGAAGGGAGAAAGTTCGGCCTATTATCCTTGGTTGAATTCCCTGCCCCGCCGATGGAATACGGCCGTATCCTTTGATTACTTTTGCATGTCAACGCTCCCTCCTTATATCAAAAAAATATGCCAGAAGAAACGTGACGAACTCTCTGCCTTTCAAGAGTCGCTCAAATATTTTGACTACATTCTTCCTGAAACCAAATCTGACGACGAACTTGTGAAGTTTGCCTACAATGTTGTAATGACTCGCATCTTGCCTTCACAAGAAGACCATAATATTGTTCCAGCTGCTGACTACTTCAATCATGGTAATGAAGCCAATATTGTCATTTGTTACAACAACAACAACAACAACGAACAGACAACAGCGAACTGCGAAGTCTACGCGTCACGAGACATTGCCCCTGGAGAAGCACTGACATTGACTTATGACATGCCTACAAACCCATCACATCTGTTGGCGACCTATGGGTTTTTGAACGAAGCACCCGCCACCTACTGCAAACTTCTCTTTACCAATCCGTCGGAAAAGTTGAAACAAATTGGATACGATCCTTCCCAGTTGTTATTTTCTACACAAGATGGAAGCATTTCCTCTCCAATCTGGGATGTCATCTTGTATTCCAAGTTGGAGCGAACTCCTGGCATGGCCGAAGCCAAGAATGCATTCTACGAAGCGCACATGAGTGGTGACGAAGCGACAAAGTTTGCCATTCACTCCCAGTTCCAAGAAGCAACTTGTACCGTTCTGCTGGAGCATGTGGAGACAATTCTCAAGGAGGTATCGCAGCTAACTTGTATGATGGAGCAATTTCGGGATGAAGACCGACACCCACGACTACCACTGCTCATGGAGCATCATGCCATGGTAACATCGACCTTTTCCAAAGTCCGCTACAATCTTCGTTCCATGTATTAAATCAAGGCTCTTCTTTTAAATTAAATACAACTCCCTCGCCGGTATCTTAACATACAGTAGATATAGTAGTAGTAGTAGTACGCGCGTACTGTTAGAAGGAGGAGAGATTGTTCGTTGGTGGTAGTCCCTTGATACATTGTTTTCTTTATTTTGTTTTTATGCGTTGCAAGCCTTACGAGTCTGTCCCAATCGATGGGCAAAAAGTCGGACGCAACCATACAAGTCTATTGGTGTTTGTTACATCGAATACATTGCACGAATAGTTGAATGAACGAATGAATCAATCGCCACTCCGGTCCTCGCCATCTTTTGTCCTTTCGTTTAGAGATCGTCGTCGTCGTCCTCTGGAAGTGGTTGGGCCGCAGCTTGGGCGATTTCGGCCTCGTAGCGGGACTTGGTTTGTTCATCAATTGTGAATTCTGGTGGTTGCAAAGCAGGTGCTTCCACAAAGTGAAGGACATTGTCACCGGAAAGCTTTCTGGCCAACCAAAGAAAGGGCTTTTCAAAGTTGTAGTTTGATTTAGCGGAGATATCATAGTATTGAAGGTTCTTCTTTCTGTGGAAGGTGATTTGCTTGGCCTTGACCTTTCTGTCTTTGATTTCAACCTTGTTTCCAGTGAGTACAATTGGGATATTCTCACAGACACGAGTCAAATCACGGTGCCAGTTGGGGACATTCTTGTATGTGATACGAGATGTGACATCAAACATGATAATGGCACATTGTCCTTGGATGTAGTATCCATCACGGAGTCCTCCAAATTTCTGTATGGTGTTCATAGTGAATCAAGTCAAGTCAAGTCATGTCGGTCCAGTGAGAAAACGAGCCAAAACATCCAAGGAGATTCTAGTTTCAAGTCCATAAACTACAAACGTACCTCTTGTCCAGCAGTATCCCAGACGTTGAATTTGATGGGTCCACGGTTGGTGTGAAACATTAAAGGGTGAACTTCGACACCCAAGGTGGCAACGTACTTCTTTTCAAATTCTCCCGTCAAATGTCTCTTGACAAAGGTGGTCTTTCCGACTCCTCCATCTCCCACCAAAATGAGCTTGAACTCTGGGGCGTTCTCTGTAGACTGCATCGATGGTTTTAGTGTCGTTATTTTTTGATGGTGTAAGAAAAGGGGGGAGGACAAGATGGTAAGTCGTCGTTGTTCATATTGTTTGTTGTTGTTGGAATGGAATAGAAACGTGCTTTTTGGTCGGTTTCGCAAACATGGTTGGTTTGGATCAAGAGATTCCATCAACCGCGTAGGAAATATGTAGACTTTGTAGGGCAGATGGGAACTTTCCCGAACACTTTCGCGAAATCCGAACGATTCGATTGAAATCCAAAACCAACTGGCCAAAGCAGTCTGTCAATCCAATTGCGACGTGCGGCTATATCGATTTCAATCTTGTAGCCTACGTAATAATATGGCATCCTCTATTCCAATTTGTCTTGCGTCAATAATCTTACCATTGTTTATTTTGAAGTGTACAGTATTGAATTGTAAAAGAAAGCAATGCAATGCCGACACCAAAAGATGCAATGCTGATGGGGATCGATCCATTGATTTTCCGATAGCTCGTTATCACTGGCTGCCTGGTTTGCGCGCAATATGCGCATTGCATTGTTGCTGGAGCAAGCCGACCGTGCTGGTTTGAACTCGGAAGTACTGCTTTTACGCAAATCAACGAATACCTCAACGGTTGGAACGACTCAAGATATTCATGACCCAGCCTTGGGCACAGAGACTTCAAAACGCCCAACAATAAGTGACTTTAGACTTGTGTGTATGTCATTGTTATCGACTGAGCCGTTGTACTGCAAGATTATTTCAACAGAGCCAGTTGGATCGAATTGAAAGAGAGTGCCAATCTGCTTAGAATAAAAAAGTTGTATTTTAATAACACAAAACTGTTCAAAAATCACCAGAAAGCTAGCGATCGATACGGCATTGATTCATTGATTCTTCATTGATTCATTGATTCTTTCCTTTGGTATCAATATTGTACGGTAGCTCAGCCAAAACATTGAGCAATCTGCACGAACCACACCACATAAAGCACAACTCGCACACGACACACGACAATTTCTAATTCACTCTCGAGGCTAATAATCATTTAAAAATGAGCAATCTGAGCAATTCTCCTGCCAAATCAGCGAATCGTCGATATGGTGAATCTGCTCGGCATTCTGCTTCCCCATCCAGAAGACATCAAGCCACGCAAAATGCTCCTTCCACTCCTGGTGCAAGATTGAATGCTCGAGGCAATAATAGAGCCACTGACGATCCAGCTAGAGAAGCACTGGCTATGGCTGCACTGGCACAAGCAGCAAATGCTTCCAACAAATCACCGGCAGAAGTGGCTCAACTGGCAAAACAACAAGCACAAAATCTTGCCAAGCAACAACAGCAGCATCAAAATAGAAAAAATGCTCCACGACCGGATCCTCGCAAGATATATACAGTTAGTCTGGAATCTGTCAAGAGTTTATTGAGATCTGAAGCCATTGCGGAAGTAGAAGACTATGGAAAGGAAGACCAACCAACGTCCATGATTCTATCCAAATTGGCAGAAGGAAAAAATGATGCCTTTTTGATGCAACTCTTGTTGTTTGAATACTACCGATCAGTTGGAGACTTGCCAGAAGATGCCACCCAAATTGATACAGAAGGTGTCTCACATATTCCATCGACGGGGTGCGAAAAAATGAAATCGTTTCTCCGCAAAATAGAATCGGCTTACGATTCCTTGGCGGCAATGGTTCCAGAAGTAGTCGAGGAAGAAACCCCAGGCGAATTGGACTACAGCTTTGAAACCGAGGCGGAAGCACCAATTGTTGTTCCAGGTTTATTGCCGCCGTGCATCTCAAACCCGGGTGATCCTACCTTGATGTTTTTCAAAGCCTGCATGGGAGAGGGAGGAGAAAATTTGCCTCCAACAAATGACTTGCCAGAAGAAGATTTGGCAACGGAGGCTACTGATTTGGATTCGACCTCTCAAGAACCATTTGATGAGCACGATAATAAACATGCTCCCTCCGTATTTTCCATGTTTCGAAGGGGGTCCTCCTTGCGCCATACGAAATTAGGTTCTGTATTTGGTGGCCGAAACAGAAAGAGGGGGAATAGCCAGGATGAAATAGAGGTGGAGGATGAGACTACCACAACTTGTGGACCAGGTGAATACGGTGTCAAAATTGAACGAGAGATGCTGGGTTTGACGGTAGAAAATGTCCTAGAAAGAACTGTGGTTCGTACTGTTCTGGCGGGTGGTCCAGCCAAAAAGGCTGGGGCCAAAGTTGGTTCTCTCATTGTCAAGGTTGGAAACATTGAAACCAAGAATCTAACGCACTTTGAAACGATAGATGAATTGCGGCAAAGTCAGCGGCCTCTGCAATTGGTGTTGCGACAAATATCAGACGACTCGTTGCGGAGTGCACGTGAAGAAATGGGCCGACTGATTCGAGGATCTGGGTTTGGCAAAATTATTGACGGTGGCGACCACAATAACAATGCTGCTGTACAACAACAAGCTACAGAACAGATGAGTACAAAACCTCAAGCCGCCTTGCAAGACAAGAATATTGCAATTTATACATCTATGGTTCGCAAAAGATGGATTGAAGCCGTCAACCAGATGACTCCACGAAGTAGAAAGGATGAACCAATATTACGAGTCGGCGAAAAGCTGATTTGGATCTTGACCCTTTTTGTGGTTGGTCTAGAACGGGAATCATCGCGTCTAATGGCAATGACAAAAGGCAAGGAGGAAATTTCTCCAAGACGGGGAAAGTCGCATTCATTATACCATCACACATCGAAGGACTATGCGGAAGCTGCTAACAGTGTGTCGAGAGTTTTATACGATTTTGCCAAGAAACGAATGGACAGTATACAAAAGAATAAGCAACAGGCGGCCGGACAAGCTGCTGGTGCAGGATCGCCAGCTCCAGGCCGTCAAGGTGGAAGAGGCATGGGTAGAGGTGGTGGACGAGGAGGCCGTGGAGGCAGAGGAAGGGGAGATACTGGAAAGGTAGAGACTGTTGGAGACCAATTGCTACTTCAGATCGGTGATGTGTTACAGCGTACCAGGACATTCTTGGCCGATCCTACATCACCGCCTGCGGCTCTTTTGCGTGGCGAATTGATAGCCGTTTTGTGTGATATCCTTGACGCGGATGTCGAGATGAAATTGGCAGAGGAGGAAAGTGTGTCATCAACGCAAGGCGGTGCAAATACGGGACCAATCGCAGACCTTGGCGCAGCTGGAAGTTTGCTGAAGTTGATTATTTTGAACTGTCCAATCATGAGAAGTCCTGGATGCAAACAAATATCTGCAGAACTGATGCAGATTGACGAGATTGAGATGAAGCGGCGGTTTGGAGAAGTCAAAGATATAACAGCTGACGATTATCACAGACTCCATGCTGGAAATAGATTTCTTGCAGTCGTTCATCGATTGGCGGCAAGTAGGAGTACAAGTGCTCGAATCACAGCCTGTTCGCTTGGTCCCGTACTTTGGAGTCATTTGGACTTTCCGCATCAGTTGCAAGTAAGTTGCCGCGGCTCAATGTTGTGAATGATATCCTGTATTGTTCTCGCGTCTAATCCTAGTTTCGGTCTCAGTTACGCGGAGTGATTACACGAGCGCTTCATGATGTTGAGGTAATTGTCAGAAAATCAACGGCTACTGTCTTGCATGAAATTGCAGAACTAGTGTTTGATCCACGCTGCGTCCCGTGGTTGGTGTTGATGTGCGAAAGGGCGATGACCGATCCAGAACCAATCCTACGTTCAGCTGCAATGACACTTACGTGGCATTTAGCAGAGCACTTGCCCAATGCCTTCCTCGGTGACGCGAGTAAAGGAAGTCGATATCTCCAGCGGTTACCAAGCCGTGACGATCCGATTTTCGCTGACGTCTATCTGTTGCAGTGCAAACTCCTTCCAGTGGCAACTCGCCTTGCCGAAGATCGAGCCCCGCAAGTGAGACTTGCAGTGGCTGCT